AATTCCTCTCTCTCTCTCTCTCTCTCTCTCTCTTACTTAATTCAACGGGTAAATAAATTAGAGTGTCTTTGCTCGTTTATTTTATTATATTTTATTTTTGTGTCTTTCAACATCTAATGACTTGTTTATTTAGACTGTTACTGTGTAAATGATAGTCTAAATCATCTAATATATTATTCTATCTGTCCTATTAAAATGTTGTTATTTTCTATTTTTGTTCATCGTAAAATAAGTTTATCATTTCCTAATTTAGTAATTGTACTACTTATCTAACACAATAAATACCCTTCCAACTTACAATATTAATTACACTATACAAATAGGGTATTTTTGTCTTTTTTACTACAACAATATAATACTAATATTCAAAAATCTACGTGCAAAAAACAAACGTCACTCTTTCACCGGGACAGAGGGAGTATTAGAGCCTTAGATTTCACGTTCAACTTTTACCATCTTTCATTTATTGTGCAAGTTTCGTTTAATGATATTTATTCCCTTGCACGTGACGGAGCGTGTTGGTTAATTCCCGTTTGTAAATAAATAAATTAATGATAAGTATATCTAACAATTTAAACTTTCAAATAAGACATCCATTTATATATTCTTATATGGTGTCAGAGTCAGATTCGTATAGACACCTCTGTCAGTACGAGGTCTTCTAGAAGAAGTCAAAAAATAAATCTGTGCAAACCCAACCAAAAGCGAACAGTATTAACCCTTATAAAGGAGAGCCCTTAACATTCATTCTAATTAATACTCATTTCTCGAGATGATAATCTCAAATTTTCAAACATGATTAATACCCAATATGGACATCATTACTCCGATATCATGTTAGATTATGTACGTAAATGACCGTCTCACCTAAAAACTTTAATTAAATATTTTTGAAAATTTTTTAAGTAGATAATTTTTAAAATTTTGTGACAATTCATAAGCAATAATTTTATTTTTTGTGAAAAAATATAACATCGAATATATTTTATCTAATAAAAATACCACATAAAATATCTCAATTTTTAATGAATTCTGATTATCAAATATTGATTATATTTTTAATCTACATCAAAATTGAATTTGGGTAAGTGAATAAAAAAAATGAGATAATTGAGAAAATATTGTTGTTCGTATCACATTATTTAATTTGCCAAACCAAATTGTGAGTCTCGGATTGGTGTCGGGCTGAGTGGTGAGCTCACAAGTGAAATTAAATAAATTTGAAAAAACTATATTCACATTGAATGAATAAGATTTAGCATATGAATTATTTTCATACTTAAACTTGTTACCTTGTCGTAAATTAAGATATACTCCCTCCGTCCCATATTGGATGTCTGGGTAACTGTAGATACGGACGAGATAAATATAATTAGTAGATAATTAAGAATGTATTAGTAAAAATAATTATTTTATAATATAAATAATTATAAATTAAGGTTAAAATAACTAAATAGTTTAATTAAAATTAAAAAAATTAATTAGAAATTTTAAAATGATATTAAAGTGTATAATCATTTTCAAAAAAAGAAAAATGACATGGGATACGAGACGGATAGAAACGGTAATGTGAACATGGTAGATGGAACGGAGAGAGTAATTCTTAATATGATTATATATGTAGATTATAGGGGATAAAGAATTCCAAAATATATTGAGTTGAGAACATGTAAATAGACATAACTTTGTAGATCTTAAACAAAATTTTTGATAGTACTCTATAATTATAATTGACAAAAAGTAATAATTATTACTTAATTTTATTAAAATATGTGTCTAAATATTTGAGCGCACATTTGGACGATGAATGATGGTTAAAATACTTAATTCACCATTAAATATATATTTGTTTAGGCTTTACACAAATTTTAATAAATATAATACTCTCTCCGTCCACTTACAATGTTTACATATTTTTATTTTGGGACGTCCAATTACAAAGTTAACATTTCATTAAATACCCTACTTTTTTCTACAAATACCCTTACTTCACATCACATCATTACTTTTACACAAAAAAGTAAGGGCAAAAATGTCATTACACTACTTTTAACTACTTATTATAATTAAAATATTATTATTTCTTAAACACTGCGCCAAAAGTAAATGTAAACTTTCAAAGCGGACGGAGGGAGTATTTTTTTCGTCTCATTTTATTTGTCCACTATTTCTATTTTTGTATGTTTTACCTTATTTGTTATTTATTTTTAGAAAAAAAATGTTTAAACAATTTTATATGACACCGGAGTATTAAAATATATTTAAACACAATGTGTTTGTTCACTCAATATTTTTGAATGTTCGATTCCCTACAAATATTATAAAAAATATAATATATATTTTATTTACTTACAAAAAGTTAACAATTTAATATATATTATTACTATATGTTAAAATATATTTAGAAGCAATATATTATATTTATGGTAATTATCTTATTTAAGAGATTTGTAGGATTCTTATTTTATTTAGACGATTTATATATTACTATAAATATGTACGTATTCTTATGATTGCATTAGAGAATTTCAATTTTATATTCTGACACTATATTTTTCATATTATCGATATGATTTTTCATACCTAATATAAAAAACAAATTTATATATAAACCTAATGGTGTGTTCTTTTATCACACTTTCTATTATTCATAAATAAATAAATAAAATTCTTAAAAATATTAAATTAAACACATATATTTTTTATTTTTTATACTCCCACTGTCTCGATATAATAGTCTTATTTACCATTTTTGTTTGTTCCAAATTAATAATCTTATTTTCATAAATAACCATATCACCCTAAAACTACCATTACTTTTTCATTTTTATTACACAATTACCATTACTTTTTACACTAATATACTCATAAGGGCAAAAAGGTATTTTATCTATATTTTTTACCAACTACCAATATAATATCAATATTTTTTAAATCTCGTGTCCAACCCAATTAAGACTATAGTTTTGAGACAGAGGGAGTATTATATTAAAAATTAATTTATATTATAAAAATTATATTAATATCACATTATACAATTATTCAAATTTAAAATTTTTACTATTCAATTCCAAACAAGAATCCCAAACTCAAAACAAACACAATCTAATTTCCTTTTAAAGCTAACTTTTCAACAAGACAAATTATAAATACAGCTGCTCGAGTTTGACTGGGTCGAACCAACGAAAAAAGATCGGCCCGATTCACTTGGAAAATTCTAATTGGGCCTAATTGAGAAAAGCCCAGCCCAAACATTTCTCAAATTGAGCTGAGCTTATGTAGTATTAGAATGTCTTCAATTTATATTTCTTCTAAACTTAAAAATAAAATTTAAATATAATACCATTATGAAATCGAAATTCAAAGACACCTAAAACGATTCATATAAAAAAGAAAATAGTAGACACCACGGAAATACACTTGGTGGTTATATAATTAATTAATACTCAATAATTCTTTCAAAACATGAGCTAAGATTGATTATATACTCCAGTAAATATAATAATTTCTGGCTAAGAGGAGGTTGGTACACTGCAGCTAAAAAACAATAGCTATATCAAGAAGCATCCCGTGACTGTACAGCCATATCTCCTAAAAACTTATAAATTAAAATTAAAATGAGAAAAATTAAAAAAAGAATTAAAACTAAAATGAAAATGAAAACCCAGTCTTCTACTGATACATATAACATATCACACCATAGCTCCACTACTTGACTAGCTTTATCTGACAAAATTTAAATTCAATAAACAAATTAAAGGAGAAAACGACGCGGAAGAAATTGTGGGCTAACAAAAACCACCAAACGTATATTTAAAAATTGTATATAAATAAATAAATTTAAACAATCCCAAAACACAACACCATAGTATAAAAAGTTACACAAACATAAGTATTTTATATGATATATACATTATTTATTTAGTTTTGAAATAAAAATAAAATACTAATTATAAAATTTAAAAAACAGTTATTTATGTAAGAAATACTGGATGACATGGTAGTAAACTCATAATCTTAACTTAAAGTTCAAACTTCTGATATCTTCGGGTTCTATCTGTCTCACATTATTTACTATTAAGCTAATATATTCAATCAGAAATTTATTTAAAAATAACGGTTGTGAATTTCTTAAAAAAAAAAAAAAAAGTCATCAACGGTAAACCTGATATTTACCGCTGTGAATGAGACGAGTAAAGCCAAAGTGTTTAACGTTCACGTGTCATGAGGTAATTAAATTGCCTGTCAGGTTATTTTAATGACAAGGGGTTCCACAATCCCACCAAATGTTCACATGTTAACTTTTGCCCCATGACCGAACGATGATCATATCCAAATTTAAGTTTCATTTAAATAGACATTTTAAAATTTAAAATATTGATATTATTTTTTAATAAGAAAATATAAAAATATGATATATGTAATTTTTTTACTATTTATAATTTATTTATTTTTCAAAATTTCAAAACTATGGGTTTAATGATAGACCAAAATAAGACTAAACAAAATACCCTAATCTATATACACATGCATTTCTATAACACTAAAGCTGTGTCTGGTACAGAGAAATGAGACCAGAGAAATAGAAATGGTATTATTTATTTGTTTGTTTGAGTCAAGAGAAATGAAACTTGAGAAATAAATCATTTTCATTTCTCTGTTTTCATTTCTCTCCGATATGCAGAGAAATAGAGAGAAATGATGTTGCAGTATATATATTTTTTAATTTTTAAAATTTTTTGTACTATTTAATTTTTATAATTTTTTAAAAATTATATAATTTTAATTTTAGAAAAAACAAACTTAATTTATTTTTAAAGTATTTAATTTTTACGACATTTTAAGAAATTGTACTGAAATATAATCTTACAAAACATCATATATAATTTATAATTTTTTTTAAAAAAAATTTACCAAAAATATTTTTCATGAATTCTCATTCATTAAAACTCTCTTTTCATCGAGTTAATCATTTATTTTTGTTTGCTCATTCATATATCTACATTTTTTTTTAGATTTCTCAAATCAATTCTCTGTTTTATCAAATAAGAGAATTAATTCTCATTTTCTACTCAATTCCATTTCTCTCCAATTCTATTATCTGCTATCATTTCTCTGCAATTCCATTTTCTGTACCAAACATCCCCTAAAAGATGTCCATTCAAAGCACCCGAAAAATAGCAGAACGGATTATCACGTTTTTAAAATAAATAAATAAAAGTGCAATAACAATCCTAATGTCAAAATGCGTCCAAATTATTGCCAATTAAGCCACCACTTGATACTTTTTGCTTAGCCAAATTGGATATCATGTCAAAGAACGAAATATAAAAACCAAAAGGCAGCAAATTACCTGTCATTATTGCTCTTCATTTTCATCCTTTTCCGACCTTCTCCTCCGCCGCCGCAATGGACCAACCGCCACCGCCGCCGCGGCAGTTTCCGGCCACTCCTCAGCCGCACAAGACCTACAAAATGACAGCCACATCAATCTCATACACAAAAAACACAAACAAATTTATCTTCAACCCCTGCAATTCATCCCCACCAATTCAAATTCTACAAGATATCTCCCTCACTGCCTATCCTTCTCAAATTCTCGCCGTTGTCGGCCCCAGCGGCGCCGGAAAGTCGAGCCTCCTTGACATTCTGGCGGCACGGACTGCTCCGACGAGCGGCGCTCTGTTCATCAATTCCGAACGCCTCAATCCGTCCGTATTCTGGAAGCTTTCAGCGTACGTTCCGCAGCACGATGCATGCCTGCCGCTGCTCACGGTGGCGGAAACATTCGCCTTCTCCGCAAAATTGCTGAATCCTAAAACCTCTGATGTATCCGCCATTGTTGGATCGCTCCTTGATGAGCTTCGGCTGACGCATTTGGCGGAGACTAGGCTTGCGCACGGCCTGTCCGGCGGCGAGCGCCGCCGTGTCTCGATCGGGCTGAGCCTCCTCCACGACCCGGCGGTGCTCCTCCTCGACGAACCGACGTCGGGACTGGACAGTGGATCCGCTTTGAATGTGATGCAGACGCTAAGATCGATAACTGATTCACGACACAGAACTGTAATCCTGTCGATTCACCAGCCGAGCTTTAAGATCCTTTCCACCATAGATCGAATCCTTCTTCTAGCTAAAGGCGGCGTCGTTCACCACGGCACGTTGTCTTCTCTGCAGGAATTTTTGCTCTCGAATGGATTCACAGTCCCTCCGCAGCTCAATCCTCTCGAATACGCCATGGAAATACTCAATCAGCTCCAGAGTATTACATCATCCACAAATTCTCAACCGTCGCCGGAGAATCCCGCCGTTTCGGGTTCCGACGGTAGATTAAAAGACGTGATTCCATACAGAAGCTCCAGATTCGACGAAATAATCACGCTGTACAGCAGATTCTGGAAAATCATTTACAGAACGAGGCAGTTACTTTTAACAAACACCTTGCAGGCGCTCGGAGTAGGTTTGGTTTTGGGGACGATCTACATCAACATTGGACTCGATAAATCAGGCATTGAGAAGAGATTAGGCCTATTTGCATTCACCCTAACCTTCCTCCTTTCCTCCACAACCGAAACCCTACCAATTTTCCTAAACGAACGCCCAATTCTGCTTCGAGAAACATCGAGCGGCGTATACAGGCTATCATCATACCTAATCGCGAATACGCTAGTTTTCCTTCCCTATCTGCTCGCAATCGCCGTAATCTACTCCGTCTCCGTCTACTTCCTCGTCGGTCTCTGCGGAACATGGCAGGCATTCGCCGCTTTCGTTCTAATAATCTGGATAATCCTCCTAACAGCGAACTCCTTCGTCCTGTTCCTCAGCTCAATAGCGCCGAACTTCATCGCCGGAACTTCGCTGGTCACCGTCCTCCTCGCCGGATTCTTCCTCTTCTCCGGCTACTTCATATCGCGCGATAGCCTACCAAAATTCTGGCTCTTCATGCACTACTTCTCCATGTACAAATACGCGCTGGACGCATTGCTCATCAACGAGTACTCCTGCCTCGTCCGTACGTGCCTGATTTGGCTCGATGAGAAGCGGACGGCGTGTATGGTGAGCGGCGGCGATGTTCTGCAGAAACGAGGACTCCATGTGAGGCAGAGATGGATCAGCGTCTACATTCTGGTCGGATTCTTCGTGCTCTACCGGATTCTGTGGTGGATCGTGCTCATCCGAAGGGTTTCTCGATCGAAGAACTGAGAGAGAAAATCGTTCGCCATTAATGAAGGTATTTCCCTTTTTTTGTTTTTGAAAAAATGCATATAAGAATTAACGTGGCTGTTTTATGTTCAATTATGCTGTGCTTGCCAACATAATTCTACTATTTACTTTTCAGCCCTTTTAAGTTTAACCCATCTATTGTTAATAATTGAATTAATAAAAAATAATTATTAATCAATTAAAATAATAATCGTATATATAAATACAAAATATATTACAAAAAATTTCTCTTTTAATTATAAGGTTGCATAGCATTATTTTTATTTTTTATTTTTTAGCTAGCTTGATAATAATATAAATAAGTTAAATTATTGAACATAATACATTAGATATTTACAATGTAATATATTGGTGTGTTCTTTTTAAATTATTTTATTTTATTTTTTGAAAGAAAAAGGACTGAAAAGGAAAACAAAGACTATTGAATGTTGAATGTTAAAAATATTACAGCATGTTTATTTTGTATTTTTGAATATATATATATATATTTTATATTATAAATTAAGAGTTATATCAATATCAAAATTAATATTTTATATTAAACTAATAATTTTATAAATAAATAAAATAATATTTTATGAATATGTATATATTTTGTAATTTATAAAACCGTATTATTAAAAAAAATACTCTTATCATTTTATATATAATGGTATAGTTTTCATTTTCTTTCTTGTCACTATCTTACTTTCATTTTTTTGAAAAAGTATTAAATATTTTAATTATATTTTAAAATTTTAATTATACTAATCAGTTATTTTAATTTTAACCTATAACTTTTAAATTATATTATAATTATTTAGTAATTATATTTTTTTAAAATTTTCGTGTCTGTAATAATCGTGGACTGAAAGAGTATTAAGTGAAAGCACCGTGTACTTAAATAAGTAGAATTATTATTATTTTTTTTAACTGGGCAATACTGTGGTCTTGCACTGTCACTTTTTTTTATTTTTTAAATGGATAAAATCCTGGTCATAAACTGTGGGCACAAATTTAAATTTTAAAAAATTAGCACATTTTAAAGAGGCAAATAAAATAGTATATAAATACATAAAATATTATATAAAATTGTATAATTGTATTGTATATATATACATAATAGGCTGAATTCGATTATATTGAATTTGACGATAACATATGTTCGACCATTTTAGGTAGCATAATCTAAATACTCCCCCGGCCCAAATACCCTGTAATATTTTTTTTTGGTACGTCCCAAACACCCTGCAATATTTTTAAAATAGGAAATAATTAATTATATTTAACATCTACCTCCACACTTTATCCCCTCACATCATCCAAATAAAAAAATAAAATATATATTTCTCTCTCCATCACATCACCTAATTTCCAAATTATCCTACTTAATACTATACACCTAAAAATTCGTGCCAAAAATAAATATTGCACTTTGTTTGGAACAGAGGGAGTAATACATAAATTAATAATACGTGATATTAATACATAATATATGAACAATTAGCGAATAATATATGTTCTGATATGTACAAAAATAGCACATAAAGTGTTAGAATAAAAGCATGTAGCTGTGTTGAATGAATTTATCAACTACAGATTTCACTCTTTTTATCATAATGTGTATTGTATATTTTGTGTTCAACATAATACAAATATAAGACATGAAGCGTATGTTATAATTAAAGTTGATCAAATTTAAAATTAATTTCAACACATTAAGTACATTTATACACTATAATTAAATAATTTTATTTAACATAGAATGTGTTATGTTAAATAGATAAATGTATCGATTACGTGGTTTGGGATGTACTTAGTGGAAAAATCAATATGAAACAAATTTTTTCGATCAGGCACCGTAACACATTCGATAATGCGTATTATAGAGAATAAGGTGTGTTTATTTGATTTCTTTTAACTATTTAGTTTTACTATTCTATTCAATATATATATATATATATATATAATATTGCATCTAAACTACTAATTTAAATAACAAAAAATCAAATTAAATTTCAAAAAATATCACCAACAAAATACACCTAAAAATCAAAAGGAATTACCAACTAAAAACACCAATGATAATTGCATAGTTAAAGTAAAAATAAAAAATTCAACTCTAGAATTACAAAATTTACATAAATTTAAAGGGAAAATTAATATTTTTAGTGTAGTATTTAATTTCTTATCATCATTTTAGGACCATAATTAAATGTTGTATTAAATTAATTTTACAATTTAAAATATTGACAAAAATAATTCTCAAGCGTCCGGTTGCTAATATAACTCATCATGGTACGTCGAATATTGTATGGATGACAAATATACATCCAAACTGAGGATCATTTACTAATTAGGGTGTGTTTGTTTGGGGGATTGGATTGGATTTACACTATTTATCTAATTTTTTCCCCAAAAAATATCAAATTAAACACCTATTTTTCATTTTTTATATTATACTAAAAATCAATTTTATATTCAAAACATCACATCAACACTTATTTATATCACATCATACAATTATTCAAATTCAAAATTTTTACTATTCAAACCCCAAACAAACACACCCTTAACTAGACATTGTATAATCCTTTATAATCCTATGTAAACAAAATGTATTATATTTATATTTATATTTTTGTTTTAATCTATTATATAATTCCAAATAACCATTTAGATTGGGATATATTACACTATTTTGTTTTTAATCAAAATATTATTCCCTCTATCCAAAAATAAATATTTTATTATTCTGTTTAAATCAAAATTTATTATTTAATTTTTTAAAAATAACTCTAAATGAAATACTAAAACATTTTTACATTTTATTTTTTTCACATTATTTTTTAAAAATAAAATATAAATTATATTACTTTAATCATTATATATTGATAAAATAATAATTTATCTTCTTCTCCATACAAAAGTTAGAAAATTTTATTTATGGGTAAAAAGAGTATATTAAATATTTAATTTTTAATTTTATTATTTTTTTAAAAAATTTCTGTTAAAACGGAGTCCAACCCGCTTGATCATGTCACGGGTCCTGTCGTGTACTTTCGCTTTGTGTCATAACTCATGTTTTGTACAATTCTAAGTACATCAAATATGTCGGTACAGAATAAGATACCATGTTGTTTGAAAAAAAATACTCCCTCATCGTGTCTGCTACACTGTAGATAATTAAAAATATATTAATGAAAATAATTATTTTATAATATAAATAATTATAAATTAAGATTAAGATAACTAATTAGTTTAATTAAAATTAAAAAAAAATTAAAAAATTTAAAATGAGATTAAAGTATGTAATTATTTTTCAAAAAAGGAGAGTGACATGGTACGTGGGACGGACAGAAACAGCAACATGGACATAGTATCTGGGACGGAGGGAGTAAAAAATAATCCCTCATTCCCAAAACTATAGTTTGGGTTGTGTTTGACACAAAATTTAAGAAATATTGATATTATATTAATAGTGTGTAAAAAGTACTGATAAAAGATATTTTTGCCCTTATGAGTGTATTATTGTAAAAAGTAGTGGCAATTGTGTAATAATAATGAAAAAGTAAGGGTAGTTTTATAGAGATATAGTTATTTATGGAAATAAGATTATTGTTTTAGAACAGACAAAAATGATAAATAAGACTATTGCATTGAGAATGATGGAGTATGTAGTACTCTCTCCGTACTAATTCAAGTTACTTTTTTTACTATTTTCGTCTGAATCACTAAAAAATATTCATTTTTTCAATAAAAGCAAAATACTCTTTAATTTTTATCTAAATTATAAATATATCATTACAAATGTAATTATTCTATAAAAAAGTCAAATAAACTTTCAATAAACAATAAAATATTATTATTTTTTAATTTATTACAAAACTTCAAAAAAACTTCTTTTAAAAGAGACGGAGGAAATATAAAATAAACTTCAATAAATAAAATTTACCCCTAAATAAAAGAATTAAATATAACAACTAAAAATTTATAATGATGGATAAAGAATGTGTTTGTGTTGAGATTTTAATTTTTATATAAATTACTAATATATTATTATAAAAATAAATATTAATAAATATTTTTTGTTTGTCTTCTTACACAAATATTTTCAGATGTGTGTGCTTAGGGTTCACGGGCTCTGCTTCATTAATTTCACTTCTCACGTGAACTCTTATTCAATAGTAATTCCAGTCTATAACAATTACGAATGTAATATTTGATTTTTGATATGAAAGTTTAAATGAATAATATTAAATAGAGTAAATCAGAAATTAGAAAGTAATGTATATTTATTATTTTATTTGAATAATGTGATATAATTTAATAAACTATAGTAATTATTTTATATTTTAAAAATATTTCAGAATATGTAAAATATATCAAAATTAAAAATATCGTAAAATATATTCGACAAAAAGAGTATTCTTTCGCAGTACTTCTATAAAATAATCCTCGAAAATAATATTTTAATATTATTTATATAATTGTTTTGTAAGAGTATAATTAAAATTTTACTTTCATTCGTCCACTAATAATTTTTTATTGAGTAATCTGTTTTTTTAGTCTCGTAACTGGACCCCTTATCATTTTAGTCTCCTAAGTGGAGCCTATCGCAAACTAGTCCCATAAGTGAAAAAAATTCGATGTTTTAGTCCTCCGGCGCCGAAGACGCCCGCGTAGCTTGCCGGAGGTGACGTGTCCGCCAGGTCAGCGACACCTGACTCTGACCTGGAGGACACGTGGATTTTTTTATTTATTTTTTAATTTATTTTTAAACTTATTTTTAATTTATTTTAAATTTTATTTATATATTTTTAATTTTTTAATTTGATTTAATTTAAAAAAATAAAAAAATTGAAAAAAAATAAATAAATCCATATGTCCGCCAGGTGTCGCTGATCTGGCGGAACACCTGGTGGACACGTTACCTCCGGCGAGCCACGCGGGCGTTTCCGGCGCCGAAGGACTAAAACAGCGAAAATTTTTCACTTATGGGACTAGTTTGCGACAGGCTCCATTTGGGACTAAAATGATAAGGGGTCCAGTTACAGGACTAAAAGAACAGTTTACCCCTTTTTATTTATTTTGCCACACACGAACTTAAATATATTAGTATTTTATTAAAATGTAGCATAAATAATTACAAAGTATATTTAAACATAAAAAAACAACCCCTATAAGCCTAAACAATTACTTTTTTCGATTTATCTTATTTATTCACTATTTTTATTTCTGTCTCATCTTATTTATACATTTCTTTTTAAAGAATATGATTATAAACTCTAATTATATTTTAAATTTAATAATTTATAAGTTTTTAAGCATAATTATACAATGTATTATATTAATTTAACTCATGACCTCACGGTCACAAATTCAACCCCTACACCACCAGGCTATCTCTTACGGGACTATTTTTTCTTTATTTTTTTTGTTTTTAGGAACATCGATTATATTGAGATATTTTAGATATTCAATTTTAGATTTAGTAGATTTATATCTAAATTTGATCTTATTCATGGATTAGATTACTTAGATTTCTATCGAGTCTGTTTTGTATTGCCTATATACAGGCTCCTTATGTTGATGATCAATGACACAATCTCATTATTTTCCCCCAAAATTTCTAACATATCAAACAAGGGTCGGGTCAAGTCCATAATGAAAATCGAGTTCGGATCCATTCTATATTGGATTAGGCCCGACTTAGCATTCAAATTTGATTTTATATTCGGCCCGACCCATAGTGATCGTATTATTAAAAATGTTAAGTTAAAATGAATTAGAAATTTACACAAATTATTGGGCTTCTAACTAAAAGATTTTAAATCTAATTTCATATTTTGGCTGTGTTTGTTTGTGTCGTTTCGACTTTGAGTTTGAATTTTATATGATAAAATTTTGAATTGAATTAATTATTTGATGTGATGTTTTAAATTTTAAATTAAATTTTAATTTAATATAATAAATAAATAATATATATTTGATTTATTTTTTTTTTAAAAAAAAAAAATTAAGTTATTCATATATGAAAATCATATAAAAACTCACAAAAGAACACATCCGTACAAATATATGTACATTCCTAAAATCATTGAATTTGTTCATAATTAGATTGTCATTTCAGGTAATAGTACAATAAAAACGTAATTATACTCTTAGATCCATTTACTTTTTATTGTTGTTGTTCATAATATTGTGTAAGTAAAGTTTTATTTATTTATTTATTTTTTTAATTAAAGCAACAAATACTTTTACTAGAAAAAAAAAGAAAAAGAATAGATATATTGTTGTTTGTCAGACATAGTCTCTAATCTGATTTGTCTCGTCGAATTTAATTAAAAATTATTAAATTCGATTTAAAGTTAAATAAGAGTATATTCAACGAATTGTAGCTGTAAGTTTTTACATTATTAAAAAAATAGATATACTCTTCGTAAACAATTTAAAACAAATAAATTAATAAATTGTTGGACACATAATGATAATTTATTATCTTGTTTGGTAAAATCAGAGAATTAAAGTAACAAATACTTTTAGGGTGTGTTTGTTTGGGGGGTTGGATTTTAAATTCACTATTCATTTCTTTTTTCCCCCAAAAATATCAAATCAAACACTTATTTTTTATTTTTTATATTATATTAAAAATCGATTTTACATTCAAAATATCACATCAACACCTGTTTATATCACATCATACAACTATTCAAATTCAAAATTTTTACTATTCAAATCCCAACTCAAAATCCAAACCCCTAAACAAACACACTACTAAAAAAAAAAAGAAAAAGAATAGATATATTGTTTGTGAGACATAGTCCCTAATCTGACTTGTCTCGTCGGATTTAATTAAAAACTATTAAATTCGATTTAAAGTTAAATAAGAGTACATTCGACGAGTTGTAGCGGTAAGTTTTTACATTATTAAAAAAATAGATATATTGTTGGCAAACAATTTAAAACAAATAAACTAATAAATTGTTGGATACATAATGATAATTTATAAAAGAGAATTCAGTTGAGAAATATATTAAAAAAAATGCAACTATATGAATGATCAAACAAGAATAAATGATTAACCGGATAAAAAAATTTTTAATGAATCAGAATTTATGAAAAATATTTTTGGTGACTTTTTTTTTAAAAAATTATAAATTATATACGATATTTTTTAAGATTATATTTTAGTATAAGTTCTTAAAAGATCGTAAAAACTAAATATTTTAACAATAAATTAAATTTATTTTTTTAAAAAATTGAAATAATATAATTTTAAAAAAATTATAAAACTTAAATAGTAAAAAAAAATGTAAAAAATATATTGCAACATCATTTCTCTCTATTTCTTTGCATATGGAAGAGGAATGAAAACAGAAAAATGAAAATGATTTATTTCTAAGTTTTATTTCTCTGACTGAGAAAAATATGAAAAATAATACCATTTTCATTTTCTCCTGCCTCATTTCTTTGTACCAAACACAACCTATGTGTCTTTTTATCAAATTTTGTCTATTTTTATTATTTATCAAAAGTTTTTTTCAAAATATATCAAATTTAACATTTATTTTTATTTTTTTATATTGTACTAAAAATCAAATTTAAATTCAAACAATTACATTAATATCTATTTATATCACATTATAAAACTATTTCAGTTTAAATTTTTTATTATTCAAATTTCAAGAAAAAAATCAAAATCCTCAAACAAATACACCCTATGCCGATGTTATGCATGTCAAAAGATCGTATTAACACTTATTTATATCAAATCAATCATGCAATTATTTTAATTAAACAATTTTACTATTTAAATCTCAACTCAAAATTCACTCAAATAATACATATGCGTACCGATTTTCCAAATCAGCATCGATAAAATACAAAAATAATATAAATGTGTTGTTTGTATTAATGACATGTGATGTTTGCTTATAATTAGATGCGTACTATACAAGTGTATGTTATGTGATGAAATAAACTGTTGCATGTGATGTGTGAAACTATATCATGTATTGTATTTATATTATATGAATATAAATAATGTATCGTCACTAGCATTACCGTGTGATATTTGCTAATTATTTATATACTTTTATTTCATGTATTATATTTATATTAATATTATATTAATATAAATTATATTATATTATAAAAATTATCACGTGCTATTTGGTAGCTATCTAAGTGCTGTTCAACACGGCGGCCGCCGTATATACATACGTTATAAATCGGCCCATGCAGCATTGATGACGAGAGACCATATATTTATGGTATTGTTTATTATATAACATAAATCAAGTTGACTGACTGCTAATATAGCATTATTTTTATTTGTTTTTAGCGACATGAAGTAATAACTAGCCCACTATTATTGCATATTAAAATATTAATATTAATAATAATCAAAACGCACTGTAAGTCTGTAACGACGAGTAGCGACCGCACATTACTTTATTAGTAGTAATTAGACCACTATTATTGCATATTAAAAAATTAATAAGAAACAAAAGGCTGACATACACACTGTAATGACGACAGCTAATTACTATATTATTCTCAGTCGTGGTTCAATTATATGTTCATTTTAAAGAAAAATAAAATAGAAAAAGTGATACTTTCTTAATTTCACTTTATTTATCTAATTTTTTTATTTTCGTTTGTTTTACATAATTTATTATTTTATTTTTTAAAAATATAATTATACATTTTAATCGTACTTTAAAATTTTAAATTTTAAATTTATTTTATTTTAATTAAATTATTTAATTATTTTAATTTTAATTTATAATTATTTTTACTAATATATTTTTTAATTATTTGTTAGTTATACAATATCTAAAATTCTATTCCAAACAATATAACTAAAAAAAAGAGAATATCTTTTTAATAAAAAATAAAAATAAATAAATTTAGATAAAAAAAAATAACATAAATTTAGATAGCAGACAGCAACTGATAAATATAATTACCGCAGTAACAAACCTCTTATTTTAACCTTCACGCAGTGATCGAACGAATTGCTCCAGCGCCGCCACCGACGTTCCGTTCCCCCGCACCGCCGCGGCGGCGGAAACCTTCATCTCCGACGTACGGTGCCTGATAGCCCTCCCAGTCTCCGACTCCATCATCTCCCGAATTCGACTCTCCAATACCTCCGCCGTCACGAAGCCGTCCGCCGGCGCCGGCGCCGCCGACAGCGGCAGCCCCAGCTTGAATTCCTCCACCAGAAGAACACGATTCATATGCTGCTCGGCGTATATCGGCCAGCCGATCATCGGAACCCCAAACGACACCGCCTCAAGTATGGAGCTCCGGCCGCAGTGAGTCACGAACGCGCCGACCGAGTTGTGACTCAGTACCTCCTTCTGTGGGGCCCACGATTGTATAACTAACCCACGCTTTTTCGTCCTTTCTAGAAAACCGTCAGGCAGGATTTCATCTAACTCAAATTCCCCCGCCGGCGACGAGCTCTGCATCTCCGGCGGACGCCGAACCGACCAGAGGAAGCGGTGACCGCTGTTTTCTAATCCGACTGCGATCTCCTTCACCTGTTTAGCTGAAAACAAACCTCTTCTACCGAAGCAAAGGAATATAACGCTTCGATTCGGCTGCGAATCGAGCCATTTCACGCATTCGTGAACGCCGCCGTTACTTTTGCCGGCGGTTTCGCCGATCAGAGGTCCGACGAAGTAAACTGGAGGAGATACGCCGTTCGGAACGCATAAACCGTTCGATAATGCTTCCTTAGCGCGAAACTCGAGAGCATCGAAGGAATTCACGAGGATTCCCTTCGATTTCTTAGCTTCCATGGCGGTTCTCAGAAAGTGTTGGTAAGTTTTATTCCGACGGAAGGCAATCAGCTTGGGTAATTCCGATGTGTGAACCGGCGGTCCTCCAGGACATTCCAGAAACTCGTCCAGATCCGCGATGTTTCCATGAACGTTTTCATCTATCACCAGAAAGTAGAAGAGAAAACAAGCGGCGAATCCGCCGGCGCTAATATAGAAATACGTCGGAATATTCAAGCTCGTAGATACCTCGAACGCCGAGTAGCAGAAGAAATCGATGACAAGCGCGTCGATTTTGAATTTCCGAGAGATTTCCTGGAGAGCATTGCGAACATCTGCGTTGCTGAGGCGAGGAATTTCGAAGAATTGTTCGACCAAATCGTCGATCGGTACAGAAGGAACGGCTTCGGGGATGCGATGGTAAGTGACGGACGCCAAATCCTGTACTTCCGCCGGAGCTGGAGCAGAACAGAGAACGGTGACTCTGACTGTAAGCTGGTTTTTGGTGATGAACTTGGCGAGAAGGAACATGGTGTTGAGATGCTCCGGCGAGCTGTAGATAACAATGGTGGAAGCATCTTCCATGGCTGCTTCTAGAAGGTACAGCCGATCGATTTAAACTTCTCTAATGCGCATGCATTTCATGACGGCAATATCTCACCTCTTTATAATAAAAATAAATAAATAAATAAATACAGGGAGTGGGTGAGTTGCAATATTAAAAATTATATCAATAATAAAAATACTCCCTCAATCCGGACAACGAGAGAATTTAAATAGGAGAATTTAGAAAAATTATAATTAAAAATATATTAATAAAAATAATTATTTTTATTAAAAAATTAAGATAAATAATTAATTCAAATTTAAATTTAAAATGAAATTAAATATGTAATTCTTTTTTAAAAACTAAACATCCCATGAGATGAGAGATTGATGTATTAATAAAAATAATTATTTTTATTAAAAATTAAAATAATTAATTAATTTAAATTAAATTTAAATTGAAATTAAATATGTAATTCTTTTTTAAAAAATAAACATCCTATGAGACGAGAGATTGATATATTAATAAAAATAATTACTTTTATTAAAATTTAAAATAATTAATTAATTTAAATTAAATTTAAAATGAAATTAAATATGTAATTTTTTAAAAAAGAATAAATATCCCATGACATGAGAGATTGACATAAATGTTATGTATTGAGTTAGTTGACTTTTTTTTTCTTTTTATTAATTGATACAATATATATATATATATTCTCCTCCGTCCCATAAATAAGTATTTATTTATTTTTTGTACGTAATTTTATAAATATTAGTATTATATTGGAATATAGTATGAATAAAGTAGAAATGACTAAAATAACCTTATTAGTATGTGTGATATAAAGGTAATGACATTTCTGTAATATATTATAAGTTGTAAAGGTATTTGTAATGTTAAGTAGATAGTACAATTACTAAAAAAAGAAACGAATACTTTGTTACGAGACGGACTAAAATGAAAAAATTGATATTTTGTTATGGGACAGAGGGAGTATATTATATTGTGCTAATACATGTGTATATGGGGTGAGTTACGGTGCTAAATTTCCAAATTTAACACCGTGCTCAAATCAACACATGTAAAAAACAAAAATAATATATGTCTTTATTACATACAATATCGTTATTTGCTCATAATTACAGCGTGTGCTACATGAGAGTATGTCATGTGCTAAAAATAACTATATGATATGTTGTTAGGTCATGTGCATTATTTATATTATATTAATGCATATTGTGTATTGTTTGAAATAATACCATATTATGTCTGAAACGGCGGAACTAGCATTCTAATTAAGGGAGGCTAATTATAAAAAATTCGCTATACACCCGAAAATCGGTATGACAAATGTATATAGTAATACCAAATTTACCGTTTTATATCAAAATAGTAAAATTAAAAATATATATATATTTTTATCAATATATTAAACTATTAGTATATCATAATATTTTAAATATTAAAAATTCAAATTATATATTGTTATTGTAACAAAAAAAATTTGATATATTATATCGAAATTTTGATATTTTCAATAATAAAAAAATTAAAAAAAAAATTGGTACTAAAATGTATTCTATATCAATTTTTTTTACTATATAAAATTTAAAAAGTAAATATACTATATTAAAAATCTAAGGGGTGGGTGAAGCCCCGTTACCCCCATGTAGTTCTGTCATTAATTGTTCGTTAGCACACAATGTGCTAGCTATTCAGTATTGTAGCCGTCATCGTATATATAAATACTAGAATTCGGCGCGCGCGATGCCGCGCCGGTGTGTACAATAAAATTAATTTCGTATAAAACATATACATACACATGTAAAACAAGTAAACAAGTTCGATATGATTGCAACAAAATCAAAGTAAAACAACCTTAACATTTAACTCAAAATGTGATGCAAATTTTAGGTCACTTACTGTACTTGGAGAGATCAGGAATGCCAGCGGCTGGAAATGAGATTGAAAGTAAAGAAAGCTAAGCCTAAACCATAGACGCGTATTTTCATAAAATGATTTCAGCTTAAGAGGGTAGTTTTTAGCTTATTAACAGCTTTTAGCTGTTTGATCAGTAAAAAAAAACTAAATTAGTATTTTGAAAGAGTTTTTTGGATCCAAAAAACTAATTTTTTGAAAAGCTCATTCACCCAACGTTTTGAAAGAGTTTTTCATTTTAATTTTGGTTATTCCTTATTTACATTTAAAACTTAATTATTTTTTTATACATATAAATATATTTTTATAGCTGTATTTATTAATTATTTTTAATATATTTAATATTAAATTATATTTTTATTTTTATAAATTTAAAATAATTACTATTATTAATTATTACACATAAATTATTTTATTTGTAAAATATATAAATTTTTAAAATTAAATCAAATAAAAAAAATAAAGGTTAATAATTTATTTATATATATTAAAACAATAATTTAACATAATAAAGATAT